ATACACCTTATATTAGAGAACACCCTAGGGTAGGGCCTAGGACATCACCCTGTAATCAAATGCATTCATAACTTTGCAGCAAAATGTATCAATAGTCACACTAAAGGGAATAAGAGATTCAGGTCAGGTTTTGCTACAGAGTTCAAGTCAGGTTCTGCTGCCAAATAAGTATTAAAAGAACTTGAGGTTATTCAGAGATCTGGGTATTTCAGAATTGTAGATGACGGATGGCAGATCTATAATCGTACCTTAATTCCTATGTTAAATTTGGATTTTTTAAGAAAACTGTACCTTTAGCAAGCATTTTACTCCAAAGTACCAGAGTACTTGGGAAGAGAATGCAGATGAGGAAATAATTACTAGATCCCATTAGCAATATCCAATTGGGCGGCTAAAGGAGAGTGTAAAAGTGGCGTGGCAGCCAGGTATCCATTTGCTAGACAACCAGAACTCCAGAAAACAACTGTTTGGGGATTGTTCCCATCTTCCAAGATGGCGGGTGGAAAACCTGAGAAGATGCTTGTTAAGCAGAAGATGCTGATGCCTGTGGTACACCACAGAGGGAAGCCCCACAGCCAACAGGCCCAAAAAGGGAAGCCCCCTGCGGCTCAGAGCCCTCCTATCAGAGGCATGGCAGATGTCCCCAGTCCACAAGGTATTCCAGGCAGAAGTCCAAGCAGAAGTCCATGGCAGTTAAATCCATGGTTAAAAAGAAAAAGAAAGGGATTATCACTGTGACAAAGCCAATTGGTAAGGACAAGAATGGTGACAATGAGCTAAAACATCTCAAGATGCTTAAGTATTACCCTCCCCCGTAAGATGTGCTTTGAAAACTGCTGAGCCATGAAAAAAACAAAAACAAAGCTAAAAAACACTACAGCCAACAAAAACCACATGATCATCTCCATAGATGCTGAAAAAGCATTTGACAAAATTCAACATCCATTCATGATAAAAACTCTCAACAAAATGGGAATAGAGGGCAAGTACCTCAACATAATAAAGGCCACATATGATAAACCAACAGCTAACATCATACTGAACAGCAAGAGGCTGAAAGCTTTTCCTCTGAGATCAGGAACAAGACAGGGATGCCCACTCTCCCCACTGTTATTCAACATAGTACTGGAGGTCCTAGCCACGGCAATCAGACAAAACAAAGAAATACAAGGAATCCAGATTGGTAAAGAAGAAGTCAAACTGTCACTATTTGCAGATGACATGATATTGTACATAA